TGAGGCATATGAAAAAATGTTTTATACAATAGCTTTATGATATTTTATAATGGTGTATTCATGTTTTTTGAAAACGTCAAATTTTTAAATTTATCCCCAATGGTTGTTTTGACCTCTAAATCTTGAGATAAGTAGATAAAAAATATAGGTCTAATATTTTTTTAAGCTTTATGATCAATATCCAAAGCCCATCAAAATCAGCAAACGTCAGTTTCGACGACTCCCTCGTAAGTTATCACAAAATTTTAAGAAATATTATCTGTATTGTTACAAAATATAATAATATTTTTTATAAGTGAAAAAAGATAATATCACAAAATATTTAAATTCACAAACATTCGAAACGGAAGATCTATAATATCAATTCTAACAAATTCTAATAAAGTTTCATAATGAGAAAATAAATAATCGATTCTTGAGTCACGTCACAGGAGTGGCAAAGATAGTATGATAGATATATTTCAGGTTTATGAATATCGCAGGAACGAGAATTATATAGTATGCACAGGAATATTAGGCCACGTTCTACGAAACTATGCTAACTAAGACCGGATTAGCTATGCAAATCACTGAACTACACGAGAGTTCCCACTTTTCGCCTACGTCGATGTATAATTATCATGCAGAAATGCATGCTTGACGAATATATTCCCTGCTTTGATTTTAATGAAATATAAATTGATATCTCGCACATAGATATTTTCTTCTCTAACTAAATATATAAATATATATTAGAAATATATTAATATATATTAATTATTATATTAGATGTAAATTTGATAATGTTATATAATTCTTACTTAGGAATAAATCACGTCTTTGATGTGGTAAATCAAAGATTATACGTTGCATTTGACGAGCGACTCCATATTAAAAATATGGAGCTTTACTTCGTAAGAAATATTTGAGAAAAAGTTTTTTAATCAAAAAGATTGAAATATTTTTAAATTTATTAAACTACTGATGTACTTCAATATTGCCGTTCATTCATGATTAAATAAACTTAACATAGAGTATCATAATTATCTCATTACCTAACTTTTTAACATATATATGTATATACATAATTACATCTATCTACCTTACCATATACTACTTTATATCTTGTTTTTTCTCCTACTCGCGAGTTGTGTAATAGTATAGCAAGGTATAAGATGAAGAACACTTCGATGCTTGCAATGTTATTAGAGATTCTAGCTTCCCGTTTCGCTCCTCTTTCATTATCTTTGGATTATTTTACGTCCGACTTTTATCGGGCTACTTGTGTTTTTAATGCGCGATTTAACAGCTTAGCGATTTAACACCTTAACTGTTAAAAAGACTGTTTTTTCTATGAATTAGAGATTACGACTAAAAAAATTATTGCGTAGATTTTATTTATTCTAAAATTATGTAACAATTAAGAAAAATCAGAATTATAAAAATATAATATATATAATAAATATAATATATGTATATATAATATAAATAATAATAATAATAATAAATATATATGCAATACTAATAAAATACCAGAATACGATACAAAGAATAATAATGATATAACACATGAAACAACGATATTTCCATGTGTACTTTTATCTGGACAAAATACATCAAAATTCCCTTTTTCGTAGAAATATCATCTCAGAAAATAAGTCGTATTTCAAAAGGCGCGAATTGTAAATGACATTCACCTCTTCGCTCGGAATTTGCGTGACTCGAGAAATCATACACTTTACAACGGAATTTCGTTCTGTTCTGATCCCGTGACTTTTATCCTGTATCCAGTAAAGAAATACGGCATCCGGCTCGTCGACTCCTGTATCTTCAGGCCGCATTCTTCGAGAACGGTTTGCCAAGTGCGAAACGAGATTGTCGGTATTTGTTTCGTCTATGGAAGATGTCTATAGAGAAAGCATCGTTGCTGGCACTAACACCTTTCATAGAACGAGATGATGAGAAGCGATATCGCGTGCAAAAGGTAGAATCGGAATCGTCCGGAAAAACACGAAATAGCTTTACCCTGTGGTCGACAAGATACTTTCTTAAAAGCGCAGGATTTACCTTCAATAGCTGCGCTCGATGATTCAATTTTTTCTTGTGGAAAATAAGAGTATCCAAAGACAAAGAAAACAAAACAGTAATAGATAAATTATTGGATGAATACGTGAATTTACGTTGGATAAAATTAAAAATTTTTAATATCTTTGAGCCAAATAAATAAAAGTTTAAAACGCTAAACAATTTTTCTCATTGAAATATTTAAAGATGTTTAAAGTATAAATATATTTAATTTATATTTCAATCGATTTTTTTTTATACAAGTTGATAACTCTAATATATAAAAAATATTCAACACTCCATTATATTTTTATGCTACTTGTTATAATTTTCTTATCAGTTTGTAGACGTCGAACTGTATTTAAATTCATCTAAGAAATTTAATAATTCTAACGTGACTTTATAAATATAAATAATGAAAGAAAGGAGTAAACAGCCACATGCAGGATCTACGCAGCGAAAGTCATTTATTAAAAGAGCTACGAGCCAAGGTTAATATACATGGTCAAAATTAAAAATAAAAATAAAATAAACATACAATAACTTTAATATAAATGCCGGCAATAACAAACGTTTCGAGAATGATCCGATGCAGATCGAAACGTTTGTTATTGCCGGCATTTATATTAAAATTATTGTATGTTTATTTTATTTTTATTTTTAATTTTGACCATGTATATTAACCTTGGCTCGTAGCTCTATTACTTATTGATATATTAATAAATTAGTATTTTAATTAATATACCGTTTTGTGCTTGCAAGAAAATTTTTTTATTTATTCTAACATACCTGTTCTCCTATTAGCAATTCTTGAAATCGTTAATATATAATCCTTATGTTAATCAGGACGGAAATTTATTTTCTGAGGCCAACATTGATTTGTCTGTGACATTCTTGACGTACAATTCTATTTATATTAAAGTATAGGAAAGGAGAGGATATAAAAGAGAGTAAATTTGTTAACGAGATAAGTTTTAATAAATGACTTTCGCTACGTAGATCCTGTGTATGGCTATTTACTCCTTTTTTATCATTGTTTACATCTAAGAAATTATTTACATACATAAAAGGAGTTTAGGAGACTTTTCTATGACGGCAGGAATTGAATTAACGCAGCGGTAATTAGCCGCATCAATCTTTTTACTCGCGCAAAACAATTATAATAATGATTTATGCATGGCAAGTCCACAAACCACCGTGCTGAACCACGTGCCATTATTAATTATCTGGCTTTGCACTCCATCAGCAGCTAATCAATCGAGGTCAGTGACTAATCGGCACGAGTATGACAGTTGACAGGCGACCAAATCATTCAAGCTTGCTGCATACCAGACTTTGAGGATAGTATCAATACGAGACTTGCCATCTTATTGGCAAACCTTCTGGGAAATCTTGGGAAACCTTTTCGGCCATTTTTCTTGGTATAGTCGTATTTCTGCCCCATTTACTATAACTATTAGGTCAACCTACGGGTTCGCTCCGTCCGTGCGTACGATATACATGAATCACAATGATGTTCAACGTAAATGTAGTAAAAGATTAGATAAGAATACAATAGATTGTCACTATATCTTACGAATTGACGTGACATGATGGAAAGTCTAATGGATATAAATAATGAAAATTTCCGCTAATGTTTAGAAAAATTGAAATAAGAGGAAGAAAAATATGGGTGAAACGTAGTTTGAAAAGTCGATAACAGAAAGAAATGGATCCTTTTAATTGGTATATATTAAAACGTCATTAATATACACTGTCACGTTCTTCTTCTAATTCTTCGACTTTATCTCGTGACTGGAACAATCTTCTTGAAAGAATACGGTCAAAATAACACGGAACGACCTATTACGGCCACGTTAGTCGGATCGATCCTGTCTTTTTCATTTCCGCTTCACTGAAGAAAGGAAAGACTACAGATTCAAAGTGAGAGGCACGAATACTTCGAAGCTCCTAAATCGCTTCGGCCACGCAAACTCACAAGGAAAGTTCGGAAAATGTTCTTGAAAACTACGAGAAGAGTATTAGCAGACATAGCGCCATCATATCCGGTGTGTCCAACAAAATGCGTTGTCTGTTATAATATAACAACTACTGTTCACGTAATTTCAAAAGTATACCGTAATAAATTAAAATTGTATGTAGATTATTACACAGAATTAAATTTTTTTTAAATTATTACTACTTTCAGATTTTTTTCATTAAAAGATTTTGTTGGAAACTTTTTTTAATGTCTATTTTAGTAGTACTGCATTATTTTTCTCCTTAACAAAAGTTAAAAACTGTTTTAAAAAGTTATTTTTAAATTGTAGCAAGAATCAAAGAAATTAAACAAATACACAACAAAAGATACTAAAAATAATTTATCGAATTTTTGCTTGTGCGAGCAGCGCGTCTGTAATGTGACTTCCCAAAGGCGCACTTTATAGGAGCAAAAGGACGAAACTCGTCTGGCGAAATAACACATTCGTAAATTCCCTAGACGAGAATTAAATTGAAATGCTGTAGTGTTTACTTGACATATACGATGTAATCTAAAATATTTGCATGAAAAGCGAAGGTCGGCACTTACTGTTTGAAAAATCAATAATGTCAACATCGTTTTAGAGAGAATGCAGTGATTCAAGCATAATTTTTAAATATATGTGTCGACGTCCGTGTTCTTTTCAGTGACTGTGTAAAATGTTCGATTTAACTTAAAGATTCTTTAGTTCACTTCATTTCACTTATTAAATTGCAATTATGAAAGAAGTTCTTCAAAATAAAACAGTTACGAAGGCTGTCGAGTGTAAAATTTCCAATATATTTTATAAAGCACATTTCCAGTTTACATTATTTAGACTAAAACTTTTTAAATAAAGTGCAGTATTCATCATTTTAAATACTATTTTGATAACTGACGAAGAAATTTCTTGTAACTCTCTTTTACATGATTTTGTATAATTTTCATTTAATTACAGGAATGGAATGATGTAAACATGAGATGGAACGTTTCGGACTATGGAGGGGTACGAGACCTTAGAATACCGCCGAGTCGGTTATGGAAACCTGACGTTCTTATGTATAACAGGTAAATATAAAATTACATTGTGTTTATTAAAATTTCCTACGTATACATTTACATTTTTCATATTCTACCGCATGTAGCAAATATATTTTTAAAGCAAAGAATGATATACTCTTAAAATAAGATTTTATACGAAATAACTTTTCGCGTTTCAAAATTATTTTAATATTAAGTAATAGTTTATGTATTTGCTAAACTCAGAAATCGAAAATAAATCAGGAACTCAAACATACCTATTCTACGGCTATGCTCCAAAATTCACTGCCAGCGTTGAAAATTTATAGTTTATATAAGTTACATGCGCTATAGATTTCCAGCACTGACAGTGAATTTTGAAATATAGTCTATGTATTAAAAAAATTCATCATCTGTTTTTAACTCTTAAGGAAATATTATGCAGAACTAAATTAACAGCATTTCTAATAAATTATATTAATTTATATTGTAATTTTCAACTGTATTTTAAGATTTCTGTTTTTGATATATGACGTTTATGTCATATTAATACGTAATATACGTAAATAAACGTAATATATCAAATGTTATAAAGTAATGTTTATCAAACATAAGATATGCGAAAGTCACTTTTGTTTTCATTCACTAACGCTTCCGAAGAGATTTTGTGACAAAGAAACTTTCTCTCGATTGGCTAACAAATGCCGCTTATAAATTAAAAAGTGTCACCAATCGTAAATCTACTATCTTACAGTTGTACATTATAGTTTTTACGACGGCATTTAACCTATAAAAATACTGATTGAATTCAATCATCATCCATTTACAACATCGTGATATTTTAAAACTAACAAAAAAAATATGCTCTCTCCGAACGGATGGCAAAGCCATGAAACGTTCCGATAAATTTAACATTTATCTTGCATATTGGCGTTTACTGAACGCAGTTTAAAACGAGGATAAACTCGCTCAACTCACATACTTTTTTAATTGACGAAATCACGAGAACGTAAACATATAAAATATTCAATGTAATTAACGTTTTTTCAAAATAAAAAAAATACCAGAAACAATTTTTTAATACAATGTAATTAAAACATTTATTTAAATATACATATATATCTATGTTTTATAATTATTATAATATTTAATGTAAGAATTATGTATGTATTATAAATAATACACAACATACAAAAGATTATATCATACAAAAAATTTATAAAAAAATGGAAGATATCGAAGAAAAAGATTTATAAACGCATATTTTAATTGCTTTTGTTTTTAATTAACGAAAATTCAGTATAATAAAATTACGCGAAAAAATAGAAAAAATAGAATATAGATAAGAAAGTAAGAGAGTGACAATAAAATATCAATTTAAAATAATGCAGTTCCGTATTTAAATGTAATTTGATGATATAGATTATATTACATTAATAGAGATTATAGTAATAATTTTATCGATGTCATCTGTGAATATTAAAATACCACCAATCTCATAATGGCAATAACGACGTACTTTATGTATTTTTTACTCCTCTACTTTTAATAAAGCACATTGTCGGTGTGAGCCATTGTTCGTGTAAATTCCATGTACATGCTTACGCTATTAATATGCCGAAATCGCACGTATCGATTATGTAAGCGTGTTTCACATAGTTGCCCTTGCACGGTTGTAACCACATAATATAACGCTAAACTGCGGGATCGAGGCGCGCAGTAATAATATACGACCGCGATGCGTCATCAGTTAATCGATTAATTAATCTATGGTAATTTGCTTAAAAATTTGAGCTTTCAACTCATCGCGATATGTAATTTAAAATAACAAGGCAATTGTTCTAGAGAATGAAAAAGAACCAAAGCTTCATTATTATATTCCATCTTGAATAACTTTTTTAAAATACACTATCTATTTAATTACATCATCACGTAATACAGATAGTTACTTAAATAGGTATTATTAAATTTGAAAATGTCCTTTCTTAGTTCCTGTTAGGTTGTCACAATCTCGTATATATTTTTCAATAAACGTATCAAAACATGGCATACGTTAATTAATTGAGCATAAAAGGTTGATTACACGTTAGCAACATTATTATCACTGTAATTTTTCATTATTTTGTATGCAATCTAATCGTGAGAACGGCGTGCATAGTGTGCATGCATGCGTGAGAAAGTTTATAAACGCACCGTGCAACGTCTCTCACATAGTTGCGTGTATGTATTGCACCAGCGTCAACGTGCGACCATATTATGTATCGCAGGTCATCGGGTCAGTTACAAAGACGGTTTACGCTCGAAGTGAATCGCTCGAAATTGATCGATAAAACGTCGTTGAATTATTTTAGAGCGAGCCTCGACGCGTTTCCTCGCAATACGAATTTGCTCGCGTCGTGAATTATTTATTCGCGAGGTGAGAATTTCCGCTATTTAATTTTCGCTCTTTGTGCTCACTGATAAATAAAGTAAATTTTTATTAAAAAAAGTTTCATTCAACAAATAGAGAATGCAGGAAGTACGAAATATAATCATTTCATTATTTATACTTGACTGTAATCAGAATTTTGCACGTTTAAATTGCAAATAGCTCGACATTGTAAACATTTTTTTTGTTCATTAAACTCTTTGATTGTACTCGCTTTAAACAGGGAAGAAGAAAGGAGTTATTAAAGTAAATATTTAATTCAGAAAAAAATTCTACAGAAAATTCTAGGAATTATACTTTTTTCAAATTACACAAAATTTTGTTAAAATATTCGCAATTGTTCAATTTTGTAAACTATATTACTTTAATAATAAAAAGTTTCTTTTTAACTATGACCAGAACTATTTTTCATAATTTTTAGTTGCAGTTATTTTAGTTAATTATAGCCGTAATCCCGCTTCCACGAAAATTTGTTTAAAACTAAAAGCCTGAAGCGCAAAAAGTTTTGTTATTTATTATTTGTGGTAACCTAATTCGCCAAAACCATGCAAGTTTGACGTGAGATACACCGCGATGCACCTTCGGTTAGAGCAGACGTCGTGTATATGTGAACTCTTTTTATATACTCGCCGCAAGTGTGTTTTGTCGGGCATGCACCCAGTCATAATCGCTCTCCATCGCGTAGACGATGCCTTTATGCGATGCATCCAACGTTATTATGTGGTACAGACCACGTAATATATAACGCAGTCAGGAAGAGGGGGCTTCGCGGGGGGTCAGTAGCAAAGATGGTGCACACCTAAGGACTGATCGATCACTTAACTGCTTTGTCGCTTCGTCACGGCGCAATTCTCCCGTGCTCCACTTTTCATCCAGATCCGTGCAAGTCTCCACGTGCACGTTGCTGAGATGATTTTTATCGCGCATATTCTGCACATAGGGTGTTCCAGGCCAATAGCCGTTTTTCTCACTTTGATTTCCAGTATCTGTGAGTCTTATAAAGGAGCAAGCCATTACGCCCTGGTTCCGTATATTTGTACGACTGAAAAGCGGAACTCAACAGCGACTGGAAAAGCGATGGAAGGGAGGAGACGTCGTGAAACGTTTCGTGCATTTTTTATGACGACGCAATATCGATGTAGTCGAAAAGTGAATTTCATTTACAACATGTAGTAAAATAGTTAACGACTTGGAGTAACATCGAGCCGTTAAAAGACGTTCGCATTACCATACGGTGTTTCGCACGACGCAAACTTGTCCTCGTATTTCGAGCGTGACTGAGACGTTGCTAATTAGTAAATAGTCTTTACTGACAGAGTCGTCGCATTTCAAGTCTCTAAAAGTACGGCAATTCCAAAGAATGATTTGCGCAAAAGTTCTAATTGAATGCTAACTCGAACAGAGCGTTCGATATATATCTTTTGCGTTTTGTTATTAATTTACAGTTACATATCGTTAACTGTAAACGCTATGATTTATTATCTAATATATCCGTAAATAATCCCAGAAAAACCGGTTTGTCTCATCGTTTCGAATGATTTATTCGGGATGATCATCACGAATGCACCACGTAAATTCGTTTTAAGCTATCGGAAATAGGTGCAACGTGCAATGTAAAGTGGAACGTCTGGCCAACTGGGTCACGCGTATTAAAAACAAAGCTACCGCCACTATTTAAAAAGAATCAGGGAAAGTATCTCCGTCTGACGATAATACATTGTCGGAAAACGCTTACGGCCACGCCATTGTCTTTAAGTAGGTAATGCATCGGGTGTCCGCTGCATCGTCGTCGTATTTGTCGAATTAAAACTTCGCCTTGCGATGCATTAGCAGAAACGAATAGCCGACGAACTTGCCGGCGAAGTGAAACGTTTAATGAATCGATCTCTGGGGGCGGTTACCGTGCAAAAACTTCGTTCGGCGATTTGCGACTCTGATTGCTCAGCTTTCGTTTTTGTCAAATTAATCGCGCAAAGTAAGACGAATTCAACGATAAAAGTATTTCTTCTCTTCGGCCTATTAAATGTATTCACATGATTTTAGAATTTGTTATCAAAGGACAGATCGTACACGGAAAGAATTTTCTCTTAAAATTTATCCTGAAAATATGGTAGAGAAGAGAGAGAGAGAGAGAGAGAGAGAAGTTGTGGTACAATATAATATTTTAAAGATTTTTACCATGCACTTCAGATTAGAAAAATTAATTAAACTTATTTTATATTTTATTGTAGTTTTATTAGTGAATGAGAGAGATTTACATCCAGTTCTTCGAAATGTTATCCCATGACTATCATAATTTATGGGTAAATTTTAAGAGAAAATTCTTTCCGTGTAATTATATTATCACAGTTATATTACAGAAAATCTAATAAGCATTATTCTGGTATCTAAATTCGTTTGTCTATTATTATATGTATATAATATACTTTGTCCGTGTTATTCTAAAATTGTGTAACTTTTATATATATTTTCTACTTGGCTAAGTGATACTGAAAGACGAAAAAGACCCAAGAGATCTCGTACTTGAACGTCTTAATATTTATGAACACGATAGTAGAATATTCAAAAATTAATATAATATTTCTCAATGTTCTGTGACAAGACACCCAGTATATCCCAT